ATATAGATACAAAATTTGACTGAAATATAGCTTTTATTTAGCTTAAAGAATTTTTTACGATCGGCCTATAATTGGTCATATCTCCCATACTAGGTCCTGCCCCTAAAATCACTTTAACCGCATTATCAATTTGTGTAGAACAAAATTATATATATGTATTTTGAAAATCCTTAAATCTTTCACACACATGCATACATGCAAATTATTAAATATCGCTAAAGCATATCTTAGGGCGCTATAAAAATATAAAAGAAAATGGCGTTTGTAATGTTCAATAAATCTTGGAATTGTAACAGATTTAAGCTTAAATATTTGCAGAAAACTTATTTCTACAAATATTTGATCAATTAAAAAAGTATTAATATAAAAGTAGCTGGTGGAGGGTATTAAAAATTCGGCTCAGCCGAATATAGCACTCTAGGTTAGATTAGGTTAGGTTTTTCAGACTGCTTACTAACACGAGTAAGTCTATACTTGGGTCCTATTCCCGAGAAAAGATAAGGGAAAACATTTGGAAGGGGAAGAGTAGTAATAGAAGAAAATAGTGAAGAAACAGAGATAGAAAGTAGATTGATGAATATAGAATAGCGAAGAAGTTAAGACTCTATTTCCAGAAAAATCATAGTGTGTATTTAGTTACACACCCACTTCGACAATTTCAAGAATGCTAGTATACACTCAGGTTGAATAGCTGACAGATCAGATAGATCAGAAAAGTGAGACGAACCCAGCGCCTGATGACGGAGCGATTCCAGGGCCGGGCAGTTACACAGAAAATGAGTAATAGTTTCCTCTTCTTCTTCATTTTGACAGCTCCTACAAAAGTCATTATATGGAATACCAATACGTCTAGCATGGTTTCCAAACTTTGAATGACCTGTAAGAACTGATAACAAAGCGCTCAGATATATTCTGTTTAGCCCTAAAATGTAGGATGTTTTATGAGAATCCATACGAGGCCACAGTAACCTAGCGATCGAGCAAGTGTGCTCCTGAGACCATCGCTCCTGAGCTGAATTGAAGCAGTAATCAAGTATTTGCTTCTTGATGACCGCTAAGGGGACACCACAGAACTGGTCAATATCCAGTATGGTCATCCTCGTGCCGGCTTTTGCCAGAATGTCAGCAGTATTATTGCCAATTGTTTCCCCGTGTCCTTTGACCCAAATAAGGGTAATTCTTGAATATCTCGCCATCTCGTTTAGAGACGCCCGGCATTCTTGGACAAGTTTTGATGTAGAATACACACCTATCAGGGATTTGATAGCGGCTTGACTATCAGTATAAATTCTGATATCTCTGTTGGATATCCGATAGTACCTAAGCCAATTAGAAGCCCTTTTTATAGCTGAGATTTCAGCCTGTAAAATAGTACATTCGTCGTTGAGTCGGAAAGAGATTTTCGTCCCGAATTCTTCAATGAATATGCCACCGCCGACACCTTTAGTTGTTTTTGAGCCATCTGTATATACATTAAAGCTTCCAACACTTTCAGGTGCTAATTCATTATAATCGCAGATTAAACTATACCGGAAGTTCCTCGAAATGCACGGTTCCGGAATATGGTAGTCAATAGCTTGATGTAGGTTTGGTACAAGATCTACAATCTTTGCATGACCTCTGGAACCGTAGTTCCATCTATTCGTAATACTTAGTCTGGCTGCAGTATTCATTGCCAGTTGTTTAGCAAGAAGATCCACAGGCAGCCAGTTCAGCATGGCAAACAACGCTTTACTGGGCGTAGTCCTAAGTACACCTGTTATGAGAAGAGCAGATTGTCTCATAACTTTAGTGAGAATGTTTCTGTTAGATATTTTGTCAAGTGCATGCCACCAGACAATTACACCATACATCATTATCGGTTTAATCACCGCCTCATATAGCCAATTCACATTTCCTGGGTTGATACCCCAATGCAGGCCAATAGCCTTTCTACAAACGTATAACGCCGTAATGGCTTTGGAAGATCTGGAGATGATATTCAAGCTCCAAGACAATTTTCTGTCGAGAATAACACCTAAGTATTTTGCGTTATCCGACAGTGTGAGAACCTCACCGTTGAGGCGTGGAAGGGAGAATTGAGGAATTTTGTATTTATTTGTGAACAATACTAGTTCCGTTTTTCCTGGGTTTACGCTGAGACCGCATTTAACACTCCATGAGCTTATTATCTTCAGCGCTTCTTCCAATCTCTGAGACAGAGTTTCAAGATGCGTACCAGTTACCGCTACTGCAACATCGTCAGCGTAGGCAACCGTCTTAAAACCTAGTGAGTCAAGTTTGACCAATAGTTCATTTATTGCCATATTCCAAAGAATAGGGGACAACACCCCTCCTTGAGGAGTGCCCCGGATGGCTTTTTTACAGATTGTTGTATCACCCAGTGAAGATACAATAGTCCGTTCAGATAGCAAGTTCTTTACAAAACTCACAATGGTTCGTTCCACACCCATCTGTGAGAGGGATTGACAGATAGGTGAGGATCTGACGTTATTAAAAGCGCCCTCAATATCGAGAAAGGCAACCAGAGTGAAGTTTCCATAACTCATGTACTTTTCAATGTACCCAACCAGGGAATGTAAAGCCGTCTCAACAGATTTACCTTTCATGTATGCATGTTGAGAGTTTGAGAGTAGAGATTTGTCAATAGATATCCTGACATTGATATCAATTATCCTCTCCAGAGTTTTAAGCAAGAATGACGCCAGACTGATGGGTCTGAAGTCTTTTGCCTTGGTGTGAGATGTCTTTCCCCCTTTTGGGATAAAGATCACGTTACACCTGGTCCACTGAACAGGTATGTAGGACCAGTATAAACAGGCCTTATAAATATTACTTAGCCAGGGAATGATACGATCTAAATTATTTTGTAGATCCGCTGGAATAATGCCATCAGGGCCCGGAGATTTATAGGTGTCAAAACTCCTTATTGCCCAGCGAATGATGTCATCATCTATCATAACATCTTCAGCAGTATTATCTAGTTCAATACCGTGCTGATTATCTGCAATTGATTCGCCAGTTGTGATACAACCAGGAAAGTGAGTATTCAAGAGAAGCTCAAGTGTCTCTTGACTACCTGCAGTCCAATTTCCGTCCGCTTTTTGTATATAGCTTGGGACGGAAGGAGATTTAGACAGGATCTTACGAAGACGACTCGTATCTGATGAATTTTCTATAGAACTACAGAATTTTCTCCAGGAGCTACGTTTCGCACTTCGTACCTGATTTTTAAATTCATTAACTTTTGACTTATAAAGAGACCAGTTACCAGATCTCTTTGCCTCGTTAAATAATTTACGACATAACCTTCGAGTTTTCGCAATTTCGGGATCCCACCAAGGGGGTTTGCCCTTAAGCTTACCATTTGATAATCTACAAGCCCTTTTGTGGCTACACTAATAGAGCTTGAGATCCAGTTAACGGCTAAATCAATGTCACTTCTACTTTCTATCATCGGAGCAGTAGGAAGAATATCAGTCAAGGTCGCTTTATGTACCTCCCAGTTCGTCTTTCTCCTATTGAGAAATGGTTTTATAATCTTTGCCTGAACCACTATTTCGAATTCTATATAGCAGTGATCAGAGAAGGAGCATTCTTTTGAGACCTTCCAACCCTGAACTAGGTCAATATGGTTTGCATTCACAACCGTTATATCCAGTACCTCCTTTCTATTTGCAACTATGAAAGTGGGTTCTGAACCTCTATTTACTACTACTAGGTTATTATCTAATAGAAAATCTAAAAGAGACTCACCTCTTGAGTTAATGTCTGAGCTTCCCCAGACCGTGTGGTGCGCATTTGCATCTGCACCCATGAGAAGCGGAATGTGTCGCCTATCTGCCTCACACACAATTTCCCTCACCAGGCGATTTGGTGGCTGGTCGCCATGGTCGTGTGCCATATAGCTACTTAGAAGCCAGATGTTTGAGTTACCAGACTCCCAAGCAGCCGCAACAGTATCTTCATCGCTGTAATCAGACAGGATAAAGATGTTTAAATGGCTCTTAGCCAGAATACAGGATCTTATATTACCTGAACAGTTAGCATGAAGAAGCTTATAGCCTCTAAACGAGAGTCCACGAACTTTACCATGGTGGGTCCACGGTTCCTGGACCAGGATTAGCTCCTCCCCTCTTTCAGCTAAACGGAGGAGGAGGGCAGCAGATGCTGCTTTGGAGTGGTGAAGGTTAATCTGCAATACCTTCACCATCTCCTAAGTCAGGATCATAGACGACATCTTCCGGATCAGTATCCGAAAGGGTGTCGTCGTCCTCCGCCACTTTCAGATCGCCGAGGAACTCTCCGACCTGTGGTCGATTGAGAGTTCTCCCCGCCTTCTGAAACAGCGGGATCGTCGATGTTTTCATCGTCCTTCTTGGGCGGAACCTCTAGCTTAACCTTCGAGGCAGCGGCGTTGCGTTTGTCGTCACTGCGGTAGGTACGGAGAGTAATACTATCAAAGCCATAGTATACTTTGCTTCCGCACTCTCGCAGTGGCGACACGGACTCCTTATTAAGGACCACAATCGCCTTTCTGATCGTTCCTATCGGTTCGGAGACCTTCACCACCTTCCAATCATGGGTAGGTAGATGAGGGTTTCCGCTCTGAAGGAGCGCCAGAATCTCCGCCGGGTCATGAGGCTCAGTTGGGATGGTGGCAATGGATCTCGGTCTGCGAGGAATTTCACATACCGGGACCACGTCCAACATAGCACCTGGCCACACTTCCCCAAGGGACTCAATCGCTAGCTTGAGAAGTAACGCAGAGCGCTCATTCGAACAAGCCAGCAGTTTTATATGACCCTGGAACCAACCAGCGTCATCATTTTGGGGGGCGGGTCCTGGATTTTCCTTAAGCACTCTAACTTGTTTAACATAAACTTTAAACTGAGATCAAGATTTTCAATCGTTGGTAGGGAACTGAGGCCATTTTCAAGAAACATTAATTTTTTGTTTTAGTACATTAATATGAATCGTTTGAGTGGCATTCCTACAGAAATGTGATATACGGGACACCCTAATGTACATGCAACAGATTTGGAAAACCATTAAAACGAGTTTTTTATTATAATTATTATTTATTAAATTACATTTAGCCTTTTTTAATGTTTTATAAAATAACTAAATTATACCGATCTAAGCGAATCTTTTTTAAAAGACCTAAAGGGTTAATATTTATACATAGGTATCATTATTTTAATGCAACTGCCTCTAATCTTCTTCTAGCCTCTTTATATGCCATCATAATGTCGTCCAAGGTCATTCCACTTGAGCGACTCAAGCAAGGATTTAGCAGTTCACAATTACGTTGCGTCAACATTTGGCAAGTAAAACTCAGTTGACCTGAATTTTGCATGTGTCCACCATAACGACAATGAAAATTAGACATACCACCTGCAACTTCGTCCTCAGAAAATTCACAAACAAACTGCTCATAATCAAATTTTCGACGGCCCCCAATAAAGTAACGATTAATAGATTCTAAAAGTGATTCAACTGGTCGTATACAAGTTAGTTTGACGGTACTATTGCAGGGCTGCAACAGATTTAGATTGTAGTGGGAAAAACCTTCGACGCGTTCTCTTTCCCAGGAATCAATTGAAATAACTTCAAAAAATATGCGTAAATATTGGGAGGGATCAAATTGTTCTTCACATAATAGAGTGATTTGCCAGGTTAAACCAATGTGTTGAGTTGTGTTAGAGCCCCAATTTGAAGCGGTGTGTGTTGTGGCATCTAGTAGACCCTCTTCCAGTATTGTATTTTCGGGAAGTTTTATGCGATAATGGACATGAACATTATCATACTCAAAACCAGAAACATCATTTATCGTAAAGAGTATGGCACATCTTTGGGTTCTTTTTGGAGGCATGACAAATTTAGTAACAAGTTCATCTTCTATACGCCAATGTGCAGGAAGTTCTGGTAAATATAAAAATTGTTCCTGCTCGCTTGGTGGGGCAATTGCTTTAGGCGAAATATCCTCTATGCCATACGAATACAAATGGCGATAATCACTATTGATCTCTATGAAATAAGGCTGGTCTTGGGTAGCTGTAAAATCAGGATATATGTAAAGCAAACGATCCTGCTTAAACCATCTTAAGACAGCCAATTGAGTATCCGGTTTTAAAGCTGCATAAACAAACATCTGTTCAAAAGGTTCCCCCTCGACTTCTTTCATTTGTCCGCTAAATTTGTGGACTTGCTCATTGTTGGGGAAAAAATGATCTTCATGCACATAAGTGAATATAAAATTTCCCTTCGCTGTTGTCTCTTCAACCTCCGTTTTGGCCTGCTTACGTTGGCGTTTCTTTTTTGTATGTTTTTTATCCCTATCCTTTTCCTTTATTATTTCATCATGATACTTTTTCTGTTGATCGTTGGTGCAGTTCTTCAAATCACTGTACAATTGACATTCATTTGCACTGAACACTTTCTGTTGCCATTTGAGCAGCACGATTTTATCGTCATCTGCTGGAGAATTTTCAATTGTTCTTTTTGAGACAAACGATTCATTATTGCTTTCTGTGGGCACATTGTATTTTGGTAGCTTGAGTAAATTATTTATGGCACGAAAATGTATTTTGAATTGTAAATTATTAATATTGTCTTTAACGAAATAACTACCAGAATGTTTTGGCAATGAATTTATCATTTTTTCTAATTTTAATAAAAAGCCTATAGATTTCGTTTTACTAATTTATTTTGGATATTATTTAGGGTATTTAATTTGCTTTCAAAAACTATTGCCTTGGTAACGGTTATTTCGATTGTATGAAAATGACAACTCGTATATTAGCAAACTATGACATGCGCAATAGTTATTAATCTGAAACTAATACTCAGCTCAAATACTATAGACTGCTAATAAAATCTAAAGTCCTAAAGCAGAAACTTGTAAACCTGATTTTCCTGTCTAAAACTCATGGTTTTCAAACATTTTGATTTAAGAATAATTTGAGGGATCGACTTTTGTAACACGTGGTCAATTGGCTTAAAAAATATAAAATATAAAAATAAAATTAAAAATTGAAATAAAGGTTATATTCCCAGCAAAAAAAGTGTGGAAAAAGATGTAGAATTTTCATCACAACTAGTAACCCGAAGTGCTTCAAATTCAGGTGAAAAACCTATGAATTTTACATTAGCGTGTCATTGGAGGGATGTTGTTCATTTTTGACAACTTTGAACTACATCTAATCTTATCTTTAGAAGCTGTAAAAATCCGATATTTGTATGTCAAAAATAAACCACATTCTTTCAATGAAACGCTTATGTAAATTTCATTGGTTGTTCATCAAAATTTGAAGTACTTCGAATATGTTGTTTGTAGTGACTTTTCTACATCTCTATTCTCATTTTTAACTGTGTTTTCATTTGTGAGGATATGTTTGGTTTATAAAAGCGAAAAGTATGCAATCGCATTTTTAGATGTGATTAAGATGTCGTTTGTAAAGTATGACATCAATTATTTTTTGCTGGGTTATTCTATAAAATTTCTATTAAAAGTATCACTAAATGAATTTTATTACCTTCTGTCGAAGTGATGTTTAATGACTTCTGAAAAAGTGAAAATAATTCTACTTTTTTTTCAATGCTGAACATATATTTTTTTGTTCTTACATTTTTATTATTTAAAAAATGTTATTTTTGGGATTTTGTATTAAATGTGACTATTTCCTTTATTAATGTTATTCCAGCAAAAAGTAATTGATGTCATACTTTACAAAGGACATCTGAATCACATCTAAAAATGCGATAACGTATTTTTTGCTCTTATGAACCAAATATTTCATTACAAATGAAAACCCAGTTAAAAGGATGTTGTTCATTTTTGACAACTTTGAACTACATCTAATCTTATTCATAGATGCAGTAAGAATCCGATATTTGGATGTCAAAAATAAACCACATTCTTTCAATGACACGCTTATGTAAATTTCATTGGTTTTTCACCAAAATGTTATTTTGTAGTGACTTTTCAACATCTCTTTCCTCACTTTTAACTCGGTTTTTATTTATAAGGAAATATTTGGTTTATAGAAGCGAAAAATATGCAATCCCCATCCCAGCAAAAAAAAGTGTGGAAAAAGATGCAGTATTTTCATCACAACTAGTAACCCGAAGTGCTTCAAATACGGGTGAAAAACCTATGAATTTTACATTAGCGTGTCATTGGAGGAATGTTGTTCATTTTTGACAACTTTGGACTACATCTAATCTTATTTTTAGAACCAGTAAAAATCCAATATTTGGATGTCATAAATAAATCGCATTCTTTTAATGACACGCTTATGTAAATTTCATTGGTTTTTAATCTGAATTTGATGTACTTCAAATATGTTATTTGTAGTGTCTTTTCTACAACTCTTTTCTCACATTCAACTGGGGTTTCATTTGTAAGGAAATGCTTGGTTTATAAAAGCGAAAAATGTGTAATCGTATTTGTAGATGTGATTAAGATATTATTTGTAAATTATGACATTAATTATTTTTTGCTGGAATAGAGTAAAAAATAGAACAAATGAAAAGTGAACTTAATTGTTTTGGCTTGTGAGCCATACAGTTGTCGTTTACGTTAATGGTGACGATATGAAGGCTTAACAACAATTTATAATCTTAATAGGAAAATATGTTTGAAATTTTGAATGCAAAAAAATGACAATAACACAGGCCCTGGTAACTCTGTCAGCAAAACTAAAAATCTACACACAAAATGTTTATCTTAAAATAAAAATGTATTTACATACACAAAAATCGTACAAAATGCATAATAATCTTTTTTAAGCCAACTCAACGAATAGTGGATAATTCTTAAACTAAAGCTTCTTAACTTTGCAATTAACAAAATCAATCACGTCCAGAATAAAATGGAAACGGCCATTATTATACATGACACCGCCACATAAGGAGATTTGCGTTCACCTATTCTAGCCAGTTTCCAGAAGATACCCAGGAAACTGCAATAAATAAAATAAATTTGATATTATTAAAAATTAAACAAAAATAATATTTTAACACAAACCCGGTCTTATTTCGGTCCATAATGCTGGGAAATAGCGAACGCAAATAGGCACAAGTGCAAATCATTAACAGGATTACTGATAACAAACTTTGAAAATTGAAAAGAGCACTCTGTTAAAAGAAAATGATTGTCGGTTTTATTTTATAATTGAAATAACCATAATATTTACCATTTTTGTTTTGTTTTAATTTAATTTTAAACAGATTAAAAAATAATTTTACAAAATTCTGTAGGATGACGTGCCCAGTTGTTTGTTTTGCTGTCAAAATGTTCAATTATTCACAATAGTTATTGACAGTAGCTGAGCTACATGGAGCTGCCATACTGTTTAAACAATAGGTGGTGTAGACAGAAATCGATTATTTTAAAAATGTACTAACAAACAAAATTAAATTAAATGAACTAAATGTACCCAAAATTTTTTTAATTTTTTTTTTTTTTTGTAAATTTAAAATCTTAGCATTTTTCGAAACAGTGTAGGAAATGTGCATGCTAATAAACTTTTTATATCGAGACATTTAAAGGTTTTGTTTCGGATTATATATCAATCTTGACAAAATTAGGTTGAAGGATTTAGGTGAATTATGAACAATAAAGTCGTTTTCTAAAGAAGACCTTTAGAAACAATGGAAACATACAATATTGAAACTAAAAAACATAATCAGTTACAATTTTATTTAATTTATTCAAAACATTATTTATTGTCTTTAAGTAATTTGATTACTTTACATTAAGTAATCATCATAAACATCAACACTAACAGCTTGACAGCACGTGTAGAAATTGATGAAGAAGAACAAGAAGAAAAGTCAAAACAACGTCGATAGCAAATCACAAACACATTTTCTTTTTTACTGCCAAGAAAATAAATAAAAATTTTACGATTTGCAATTAAAAATCTATATTAAAAATGTCTAATTTCAAACCTTTAAATATAAAGAAATATCCCAAAACTGGTCAAGTTGTGACACCAGACACAGAATATTGGAAAAGATTAAGTGTAAGTGAGAAGCAAGTGATTTTACAAAAACAAACGTTTTTTTCTAACATTTTGTCTTCCAATGAAAACAATAGGTCCCCACACTGGTAAAGGAGTTTGGTGCCATTGATTATGTCGACTTTAGTCCCATTGAACCCCATTACTTTGCCGTTACTTGTTCCGTAAGAGTACAGATTTACAATCCTATTACAAAGTTGGTGGTAAAGAATTTATCACGTTTCCAAGAGACTGCCTACGGTGGCACATTTCGTCAAGATGGTCGCTTGTTGGTGGCCGGTGATGAACAAGGTTTGGTAAAATTATTCGATACCTCCAGCAAGAATGTTTTGCGTTTATTCAAAGGCCATAAAGCTCCCGTGCATCGGGTTAATTTCACCTCGGACTTGTTGCATATCGCTAGTTTCTCCGACGACAAAACGGTCAAGTTGTGGGATGTTGCTAACGAAAAGGCCATTCATACGTTTGCAGAGCACCAGGACTATGTACGCGCCGGCACAGTAAATCCAGTTTCAGCAGATGTTATTGTTTCGGGCGGTTACGATGGTAAAATCAATTTGTACGACACCAGAACAAATGAAGTCACCGCGACCGTGGATCATGGCAGTCCTGTGGAGTCTCTGCTCTTCTTGCCTACCGGTGGCATCTTTATTAGTGCTGGTGGTACGGAAATACGTGTGTGGGATGCTTTTGCCGGTTGTCGTTTGCTAACAAAACTTTCTCAGCATCACAAAACTGTCACTTGTCTACGACTGGGCTCAAATGGCAAACGTATACTGTCGGGTGGTTTGGATCGGCATGTTAAAATCTACGATGTGGCCTCTTATCAAACTGTGCATACACTTGATTTTCCTAACGCCGTCCTTAGTTTGGGTGTAGCACCCAATGATCAAACCGTTGTGGCAGGTATGGTAGATGGTTTAGTTTCTATACAAAACATGGAAGCGCCACGCAACGCCGAAAGAACTAGACGGCCCAGAACTCCCGCTGTGTCCAGTAAAGCACAAATTGAGGTAGATCATCAAATTATCCAGGAAGCCAAAAAGAAGCTTGCAAACTATGACAACCATTTGAGACATTATGAATACAGCAAATGTTTGGACTCGGTGATAAATTCTTCAGTGTCGTCTAAAACTCCCGAAGTCACAGTGAGTGTAATGCAGGAACTTATACACCGTAAAGGCCTGCATCGCGCATTGGCCGGACGAGATGACCAATCACTCGGTGCCATCATTACATTTATATGTCGTCACATTGGAGAGCATCGTTTTATGCGTGTCCTAATCGATGTCGGCATGGCCCTTTTAGATGTTTACGAAGATGAAATTCACCAATTTTCTGGCAGTGTGGCTCAGAAGTTTTTAAATCTTTCATTGGTTTTGCGACGAGAAGTGGCCTTAACTTATGATCTTCTAGAGTTGGAGGGTTCTTTGGATCTGCTAATGGCCGCTTCAGATGTTGCGAACAAACAGGATGATATGGTGCATTTCGTTAAAGACGATAATAGCGCTTCAACGCTTAAACAATCAGTTATGGCGAAAGAATCATCCATAGTTACTGTGAAGTAGTGTTAAGGTGTAAGAAGGGTAGTGCAGCAGACATTTGATAATTAAATTTTATAAACTGTATTTTAACAAATTATATGTTTTAGTTTTAAGTCTTGTTAAAATAAATAAGAAACTTTAAAGAAATTTGCATGAATTTTTATTTTTTAATTGATTATAAATGTAATTGTAGGCTATTAAGAAAAGTTTTCTTCCATAAAGAATCGATAGTAAACTATCAAAGTTACCAAACGGGGAAAATTTCGATTCCAATTGAAATAGAACGGGAGACTAAGAAAATATTAAGTTAAATTTTGGTATCAGCAAAACAAATCGGATTTTTCTGTAGGAAAAATACCTTATTTTGTAAATATACATATTTAAGGTTTCTGACGGTTCGAGGGGATTACTATATTTCGTTTAAAAAAGAATGCAAAATACGATGTTCTTAAAAAATTTGTTGTCGACAGAAGTTGTGTTGTTTACACTCAATATTAGTTCAAACTCGTCTTAAAAATTAGCTCGTGCCTTGCAATAGCAATTACAATTTTACTCGTTCTTTACCCCACCCACCAGACCTAGTTCTAAACCAAACGTTTTCTTTCAAACTTAAGTAATTAGATTTATATTTCTGCTTGAAATTTATTAAATAATAATCTTCAGTTGATTTGATTTAACTTTATTTTTTTATTTATTTCTTTCACTTCTTTTTCTTTTAAGTATGTATTTTTTATAGTTATTTGTAATAAATTTGATGTTTTCTGATGAAAATAATTTGATCTTACAAAAAAACACATCGATTTGTTTGCATTTTTAAACTCTACATAAACATACATACAATTTTATGATCATGTTCGAAATATTTTGTTTTATATAAACATACATTAGATTCGAATTACCGAGTATATGAATTCGTATTATTAATCGAATAGAATAATGAATTAAAGCATAAGTTTTGTCAACAATTTTCATGAATTTTATAGTATTTTTTTTTCAGAATAAAATCTTTAAAGATATGTTAGAAATTTTGTTAGAAAAAAGTTTGCCATTAAATCAATGTTTCGAATTTGAATTATATAAATTGTGTAATTCATTAATCAAGAATTTGTTATCAAACAAAACAGAAATTTTCAATTTGCAAATCTAATGCATATCTTTATACACAAAACATTGAGTTGTTGTACAAATCTATTTCGAAGATTTTTTATCCTTATGTATAGATAGATGTACATATAAATAAATGACAAAAGTATGTTGTAATGAATGTGTATCTTATGTGGATATTTGTCTTATTTGTCATCATAAGTATTTCACATGTATTTCCATTTTGTTTGTTTTCGTAATATAATTATTTATTTACTCTTTTATTTATTTATTTATTTTGCAATGTTTATTTATATATTAAATTAAAAAGTATGCATTTTTTAAATTTATATATTTTCTTTTGTTGTTTTGTTGTAAAACTTAAAAAATAAAGATATTTTCAATGTATATTTCATTAATATTTAAGTATTAGGTTTCCCCAAAAGAAAAAAAACTAAAACATAAAAGAAAAACATATTATATTGTTTTGTGTTTAGTTACTTTTGAAAATAAAACGTAATAATTAAACAATATAAAATTAATTACAGATTATAAATCCATGTGTTTTTATTCTTTTTTTTTTCAATTTAAATTGTTTTGTATTTATATTCAATATTATTAATCGCTATAATTTAAGTATATTTTTCATTTATGTATATTTATAAGTTTTTTTTTCTTATTTTGTTTGCTTTTGTTCAAATTAAAAAATAAAAAGAATTTAAGCAGAAAATATTACATATTTAAAGACATATATAGTTGGGGAGGGGGGCGAGGGGGTGTGTGACACAGATAGAGATAGTGTAGGAAATTTTGAAGCAAATTAAAATAGTAAATAAAAATTATAATTATAATAATAATAATATAGTAATTAGGATTTAGGAATTATAAACGAATATTATATATAAGTATGTATGTATGTGTTTATGATAAAAATATTTACGACAAAATTACAGACTACAAAACTACTTTGCAAATATAATATAGTGTTTGTGTGTGTGTGTGGGTGTTTAATGATCATGATTTTGTTTTCATTATCAATTTTTTCCTTTTTTTCATTTTACATGTATAAAAAAAGAGTTTTCTTTTCTGATTGGTTATTTAGTAATTAATTAATTATGCTGCTGAAAGCGGCTTCTGGATTACAAAAAATGATAACGGCTGCTGCGGCTGCCAACAGATAAGAAGACAAGGATGACGACGACAAATACAACGATGACATACATTTAAATAGTAATTAATTAATTTAGTACTAGTAGCGGTAGTATTTGAGTAGTTGAAGAGATTTTTGTTCATTTCAAAATGTAATTAATATGTATGAATGATGAAGAAATACAAAAAAAGCAAAAACAAAAACTAAGAAAATAAATTATATGTTTACAATTTTACAAAAAGCAAATGTACATCACAATTATAATAATGTTGATGAAGATAATGATGATGCCAGCCAGCAAGTCAGACAGATACGATGTCAGTTAGTCATATTTATAGATAAACTGTGATTTAAAGATGTTGGATGGTGGGGTTTCAGAAAACGTGGGGAAAAAGCACACACATACAAAAATGATAAAGTAAAAACTAAGCAGCAAAAATGTAGTTATCAATTTAACTCCTCTACACAAGTCATCTTAGCCATCTTCTTTGGGAGGGGTGAACCAACCTGTTAAGAAGAAGTACAACATAAACATAACTTTATTTATATGCAAATTTAACAGATAATACTAACCATTCTTCTCGTGTATTTGCACCAGGGATTTAAAACTTTGTTGCGCTCTCGCCAAACTGTATTGAGCCTGCGATAAGGCCTGAGTTATGAGATTTAGATATTCAAAGAAATATGACAGCAAAATAATAATAAAATAAAAAGAAAGGATTTTTTATATATATATTTCGCACTTACCTTGGTGGCGCTAAATTGTATTCTGGCTTTGCCCTTAACTAATGTGGCTGCTATTTGCATAATGACAGCCTCCACTGTATAGGCCGAACTCCAACCCTGTTTGGTTAACAATTCCATACATATTGCACCACCAACTAAAACATAGCCGCCTAAAGAAAATCACCTTTAATAAACCTATTTCTAATTTTCACATGTCAAAAAAGTAAATTACCTGATATAATTGGATGGACAACACGGACAAATGGTGGTTCAAAGGGATACGTTTCTTTAAAGATTATATTTAAGAGAATACTATCTTTGCCTTCTTTCTCCTTGAGCATTATCAAGTCGTTGTGTAGGGGACTGTCGGGATCAACGGATTTAAGGCGTATATTCCATTCGTATATGGAGTCATTTACTAATTCTATGGAGTACATATTGCTCTTGAATGAATCAGAACGATAGATATCACGCAGTTCTTTCATTAGACGATCGGTTGCTTGAACGGACCCGGAAACTGAACCCTATTGGGAGGAGGGAAAAGAAATGGAAATGGAAAATCTACATATAATTGTTTTAAATAAAATAGAATTTAAATAATGACTAGAATGTCCACAAGCTGTTCGTAGTTGTATTGAGTCAAATGTTTCAAGTGTAAATTGCAATATTTATAGTATAATCACAGATTTCTTTACCCCTCGTTCTAAACAGTCAGTCTTAACAGATTTCTAACAAAGTAAAACTATTATTAAAATTAAAATAATTAATTACCTTTAGATAGTCTTGTCTTTGACTTTGTCGCAGTCTTTCTAATGTTGCTAAATGTTCAACTTCCATTTCGTCCTTCTGTAATAGAAATAAACAAATAAAAATGATTACTTTAAATTAAAAACAAAATATGTTAAAGCAATTCCCAACCCACCTTATTCGTACTGCGTCCATCATCCATTTCCAATGGCAGATCCTCATCGGCTTCACTCTCTTGTTCACTATCACCAATTGGATCTTCGATGTCATCTTGATCTGATTCAATGTCATCGATTTGATGCTGAGCTGCAGGCTGTTGATTTAATGATGATGCACTATTGGGTGGTGGCAATTGAAACGGTATTGTCAGGTTATCAATATCGGGCGGCAGTGGAACATTGTGAAGGCGGCACAGTTCACGTAATAATATGCCCACCTAAATCATAATATAAACATAATAAATAACATGATAGAGAGAATAAAATTACCAATAAGAATAAAAACATTATATAGAAAATAAAATAAAATAAAAACACACACAAACACACGTTATCATGTCATCATTAAATTGGGTCAAATAACAACAAAAACATATAAAAATAAAAGTAAAATGTTAAAACAAAAACAAAATGTTTCTGTAAGAAGAAAAAAGGCACAGTAAAACAACTAACTGACCTGATTTATAACATGATTATCACGTCCATTTGTATTGCTTAGTATTTGAACAGCATTTGTTACGCTTGTCTCTTCGCTCTCTGCAAACCATACTGGGGGTGAAGATGGGTAAGTTTCCTAAAAATAACCACAAATGAGAGATGATTAAACTTGTTATTAAATATTTTACCAATTTGTTTAGTAATAAAAATGTTAATTTGCTAAATTTAATTTAAATATGTTTATGAATCATGATATTTAAAAATAAACGCTAAAGTCTGCTAAATCATTTTCTTATTAACTGGCAGTTTTTAAAATGAAATAACGTTTCACAGTAACGCTTTTCACAAACGACAGAGTGCAATAAACCTTTAACGAAGTTGATTGAAATTTCAGAAAGTTTTTTTGTTCCTGTTTATTGGTTGAGGGAAAAATTCTATTAAGGACAGGAAAAATAAATATACTGTTTCAAAACTAAAGTTACAAAAATAGTTCTGTTCTGTAACATTTCAACTGTATCCGATATTTCTTTCCTATGGAAAACTTTTAGTTGATACAGCCGTCGCTGAGTTGACAATATTTGGCCGAGTAAGAACTGAATTGAATTAAAGAATGCAACTTTTTCTCAACTCCAATATTATCCACTATGTGGCAACAAATCTGCATTCATGCAAATGAACCCTTTTTCGTAAATTAACTTCAAAAAGTAGCGTCATATGGTTTCAAACAATTTAAAATAAAAAAGTTTGTTTCACTCATATTGTGGTTGTATTACCACTACATTAAA